ACCCCTCACATTCTGGATATAATCTATTTCGATTTCTCCCCTCAGGAGGCTGCTAGAGAGCATTCCATGCCAAGACAACTAGACACAAAGATAGTTCCCCCCCCCCCCATGCCATCACTCTGCGGAGAACTTAATTCTCATTTCTCATCTTTTCTCATCTTCACATCTTTCCTACTCTCTTGTCCTATTGGTTTTTTGTGATTTAGCAATTGTTGTTTGTAACTTATGATTAATGATTATAATTTATGACCTATGACTTGTTGTTTATATGTACACTGTACTTATGAACCAGAGACAAATTCCTTATGTGTCCGATCACACTTGGCCAATAAAGAATTCTTCTGTTCCCCTCCATCCCACCCTACCCTACTCTACCATGCCCATTATTTCTCCTATGTCTATTATACATACCTGCATAGACAGAACAATATATTTTATTAAAGAAACCTATCAGTCAAATCCCCAGATTTTCTTGAAAAGAAACCCTAATCCAACAAACTTCTACATGTTGGAGTGATTGTTTCATGAATGAGCTTTTTGATAATGACTTTCATATTGCTCATTGATCAGTTGAAGCTAAGCTAAAGGCAGAAAGAGAAACTGAGTAGGTAGATAAGAGCGCTTTCCTTTCCAGCACAGCCTCTAAATAATTAATCTTGGTAACTGTTAATTATCATTGACATACTGTTCTTCCCTAATATGGCTCATTTACCACCACCTTTGCTTTTGGACCTGGACCAGGAAGAAGAAGGTTTCTTCCCCCTGCAATTAATACAGTGCTAATTCTCCATACCATCAAGGTTTTTTGAGGTAAAAGAATTTACAGCTGCTTTGGCTTTCCTGAATATTTACACTATTACAAAGTGAATGTTTAAGATACACTTTAAAAAAAAAAGTAAGTTAAGAGTTTAACGATAGTCTAGATTCTCTGATACAGGTAATCCTTGACTTACAACAGTTCATTTAATGACTGTTCAAAGTTACAGCAGCACTGAAAAAAGTGGCATAACTATTTTTTACACTTACAACTATTGCAGCATCCCCATAGTCACATGATCAAAATTCAAAAGCTTGGCAACTGATTGTTATTTATGACGATTGCAGTGTCTCAGTATCATAAAATCACCTTTTGCAACCTTCTGCCAAGCGAAGTCAATGGGTACGCCAGATTCATTTAACAAGTGTGCTACTAACTTAACAGCTGCAGTTACTTAACACTTAATACTTCACTTAACAACTATGGCAAAAAAGTCATAAATGGGGCAAAACTCACTTTGCTAAGTGAGACATTTGTTAATTAACAACATAAATTTTGGATTCAATTGTTGTAACTCAAGGACTACCCAAGAGCAAAATATTTATTTTAACTTTTTTTTTTTAGATGAGCTAAAAGAGATTACGATTTCTCTAATATCTAATAAATATATTAATCTCAGTGAATGATTAGGGATAAGCTCTCTTTCTCAGTCAAATGTCAGGGTTCCAAGTAATACATCCATACCAAACAGAACTCCG